AAGTTTATGACCAAGTCCCAACTACAATTTCATACTAATATTAATAACTTCCAGTATGTGCAGGTGGTATTCTAGTAACTGACAGATTAATATTCAGAATTATATTTCAAACTCACGGATACCAAACATAGCATACCCAGGAGGGAAGAGATTGCTTTCTCCCCTTTCCTATGTGCTAACATAGTCATGTATGACCTTGATTGGTTCAGCATAATATTCCCTATTCAAATATATACCTAATATTAATGTGCTCAGTTCCTGTTGAATTCTATGAATTGTATCTGGAATTGTTACATGTAGAATAGACGTTTAATGGCATGCTCTGCATTCCTAGAGCTCTAATGGCCTAACAGGTCATGTGTGACGGCTGGACTGTTACTGTTTTACGATAGGGCAGAGGAAAGTGGTTTTCATGGTTCCTGAAAAATAGACATCCTGCCAAGACTATTTAGCGGTTTACAGCTCTGGATCTATTTGTGTTTTAAATAAGATAAGAGGTTGAAGTTCGTTACAAGCTACAGCCACAAATTCCATTTTCAAGAGGAGGGAGGAGGGGAGAAAGATGATTGCTCATGAAAAACAAAATGGCTGAGCCCTTAACAAGATGGCTGTCGTGTACAGCTTCCATGTATCTATTGCGCATAATTGTTACAAAGTCCATTTGGAGATTCATATACTTCCAAATCTACTAATATCAGATTTTCGTCCGAAAATCTGTTTGGAACAAAATAAAAGCATGTCTACACAGCAGTACTCTGTGCTATGGCCACATATAGGCTATATCATTAGCTGGGTCTAGTTTGTGTCCAGCCAGAAACCTTTTCCCCAGACACAATAGGGTGGCATTTGCTAAAACTGGCGCACTCAGAATCTGGTGCAGCTGTGCATGGCAAACACTTCAGCTTGTTTAATTAAGCTTTGGTAATGAACCCTGGAAGTTGATTGGTTCCTCTGCAGAGCTCCACCAGATTTTGCACCACGTTTTAGTAAATAACCCCCAATCTGTCTGTATCCAGGGCCAGCCAGAGCTTCTAATCGCCTGTAACCACTCAGATATTATCTGTGAACAGTGGCTGGGCAGGCCATTGATTTGTAGAGTATAGGGTGTGCAGCTGTTCGCACACAGTATACAGTATATGGAGGAAATTTCTCTCACTGGTAGTTGTTCATGTGAATGAGCCCTAACTATATTTCCTAAATACATTCCTGCATAGTTATTTTGTTCTGTGTTTTCATGCAGTGTTTTGGGAAAGGGGGACCCGGAGCGTAAAGTCCACTTTAGGCCTCATTCAGAAAGACACTGGCACCCATGCATGCATGAGTTAGGCTGGCCATACATTATACTTTTTTTTTTCCAATTTTCTTTCGACTTATCTTCAACTATGAAATGCAAGGGCCTACCTGTCTGCATACAAATTGAAAGTGTTTAGGTTTGACTCATATTATATGGTTTTGGTAAATCTTAAAGAAAATTGCCCAAAAAAATTGTATAATGTATGGCCAGCCTTAGTTTACTTTCACATCTGCATCTGCCCCAGCTATGTGCAGACAGTCTATGGAAGGGGGAGCAGACACAGTGGCTGCATGGGCACAGTTGCATGTCACAATTTGACATTTGACTGTATCCCTACAGCCACTCCCTCTGCCCCCCACGTCCATAGACTTGTCTGCTTTCACATCTGCCTCCACCCCCAGCTGTGTGCAAATGAACTCCTGCGCACAGGACAAGTGCAGCATTCATCTGAATGAGGCCTAAAAGCCTAAAGCTGGCCACAGATGGGTAGAATTTTGAATGAAATTCTTAGGAAAAGAATGTTATATGAAAGTTTGTTTCTTTTTCTAATCATCAGTGGTGTCAAATCAATGTTCGTTGTTGACCGCAGTGATGAGTTTCATTCAGAGTTTATTCTGCATAATTCATTAAAAATTTAAAAAAATAAATAATATAAAATGGTAAAATATAATTTATAGGAACAAAATAACAAAATTATAAAACTACTGACCCCATCCTCTGCCCTACTGACTGACACTATCCACTTTTAAGATAGGTTAATTTTATATTTTTACAGTGACATTTGTTTATTATATTTTTCTAAGCTTTCCTTTCTATTTAGTTAGGTCTTGCTAGTTAATTCCTTTAAAAAAACAAAAAAAAACAAAATGGCGCTGCTCCCTGGTGATCTTTGATCCCTTTCATGTTGTTCAGGTAGATCTCCACCTCTCAAAGGTTGCCTTACCCCTGCTCTAAGGTATTCAAAAGAATTGGAGAGGTATGTCAGAATGTGGACAGTTTCTCCAAAATCTTTTGAATTACCCTCTCAATATGTAAATAAAGATTGGAAATAACTCTTCAGTCACTTGGAGTATCTTGGCACATGGTGAGAGATTTGGCATGCCATGAATGCAGCAGGTTGCAGTGAGGGGCGCCAGGTAAACTTTTGCATTGGGGGCCCTCGAGCCTCAAGCTACGCCTCAGCCTACAGGTGAGCCTATACTAAGACTTACCTGTAGGTATAATGAATGCCTGTGGAAGCAGATAGTGAACTGACAGCGCACTGAGCAGCGCACTGAGCACATTCAAATGAGCAGAGCCTGTGAACCCAAAAGGAAGACGGGGTGAAGATGGAAACCCTGTCAGTGGTGACAGCATGCTACTAGAGTAATTTAATTAATGAAATTACCAACGGGCGCACTAGATGGGCAACAATGAGATGACCCCCAAAACAGGAATGGCTTTTACAGGTGGAAGCCAATTACATTTTTTTCCCTACTCATCTTTTCTGACTGTTTTTTACTAGTTTTGCATTTGGCTAGGTTCAGTATCACTACTTGTAGCATGAGGCAATACCTGGACCCTACAGAGGTTGCACAGGCAGTCCAACTCCTCCAGGATGGCATATCAATACGTACCATTGCCAGAAGGTTTGCTGTGTCTCCCAACACAGTCTCAAGAGCATGGAGGAGATTCCAGGTGACAGGCAGTTACTCTAGGAAAGCTGGACAGGGCTGTAGAAGGTCCTTAACCCATCAGCAGGGCTAGTATCTGTTCCTTTGTGCATGGAGGAACAAGATGAGCCCTGCTTGAGTCCTAAAAAATGACCTCCAGCAGGCCACTGGTGTGAATGTCTCTGACCAAACAATCAGAAAAAGACTTTATGGGGGTGGCCTGAGAGCCCGACATCCTTTAGTGGCCCCTGTGCTCACTACAAGAAATGGCCACTGCTCCAGTCTATAACTGGCCTTCACAGTAAGGAGCACATGGAAGGGCAATGCATGTCAAGCAAGAAAAATTCCCAGCTCTAACTTGCCAGCCAGCCTGCAAACAAACTGAATTAACCTGGCTAACAGGATGCGTTAAAAACAGGGGTCTAATTAACACACATTTACAAACACATGCGTAAGCTACAGAGCCTCATCACGGCACCCCAGTATTCTGTAGTTCCCAACTCAACAATTTTAAGAGCCCCATAGTAGAGGCGCATGTATTTAATGGATAGACCAATGGCAGGTGGACCTGAGGGAGCTCACCCCTCCTTAAAGGTACAGGAGCGCACTGGACATCCAGCATGTAGCACAATGGCTGCTAAGGTGTCCAGTACACCCCCTCGCTCACTGTGCTCACTGCCCGGCACCATAGAGCTCCATTGGCACTTGCCATATAACACCAGAATTGGCAGGTCCGCCACTGGTGCCCTGTGCTTTTCACAGATGGGAGCAGGTTCACCCTGAGCACATGTGACATACATGAAAGGGTCTGGAGAAGCCGTGGAGACTGTTATGCTGCCTGTAACATCGTTCAGCATGATCGTTTTGGTGGTAGGTCAGTGATGGTCTGGGGAGGCATATCCATGGAGGGACAGACCTCTACAGGCTAGAACAATGGCACCCTGACTGCCATTAGATATTGGGATGAAATCCTTGGACCCATTGTCAAACCCTACACTGGTGCAGTGGGTTCTGGGTTCCTCCTGGTGCATGACAATGCCCGGCCTCATGTGATGAGAGTATGCAGGTGGTTCCTGGAGGATGAAGGCATTGATACCATTGAATGGCCCCCACGCTCGCCTGACCTAAATCCAATAGAACACCTCTGGGATATCATGTTTCGGTCCATCCAACGCCGTCAGGTTGCACCTCAGACTGTCCAGGAGCTCAGTGATGGTCTGGTCCAGATCTGGAAAGAAATACCCCAGGACACCATCCGTCATCTTATTAATAGCATGTCCCGATGTTGTCAGGCATGCATACAAGTACGTGAGGGCCATACAAACTACTGACTACCATTTTGAGTTGCTGCAATGAAATTTCAGTAAAATGGACTAGCCTGCTGCATCATTTTTTCACTTTGATATTCGGGGGTGTCTTTGAATTCAGTCCTCTGTAGGTTGATCAGTTTCATTTCCATCAAATGATGGGACATCCTTACCAGGGGAGGACTGACCATTTGGGGCCCAATGAGATGCCCCTGGTACCTTTTTCATAGGCTTTTTTGAGTTTGGGCAAGGACACAGGGGCCCCATGATCCCCTATTGCCCGGGGGCCCCATGAGTTGTCAGTCCGCCCCTGATCCTTACATGCCTAACACATCACCCAGGCCATATCAGTATAGATATCCAGCAGGAGATTCCCCATTGAGATCTGATGGGCTTTCAAAGTGTTCCTTTGATTTTGTGAGCAGTGTATAAATGATATAGTCCCCCTCCCCCAGCGTGTATAGTGTTTCACAGACTTTGCCCACTTATAGAACTCAGCAGCAACAACAGTGACAACTCTCCAGAGTCGCCCTCAGAAAGGCGCCCAGCTGACGAGGAGGAGGTGTGAGGAGTCAGACATTGCGCCCGGCCCCGCCCTCCTGAGCGCGCCTCCAACCACGTTTGTCCCGCTCGGCTCTCCGTCCTGTCAGCGCGGGATGAAGAAACGGAGCCGGGGAGACAACGGGGGATGAGTGAACGGTGCTGGGGGAGGAGGACAGTGCAGTGATAGCAGTGACGGGGTCATCTATGGAGGCAGACAGAGTTGAGCGGGGTGCCCCCACAGAGGAGGAATGGCTGGAGATGATGATGGAGAGGAGCTTCACTGACTTGGAGGAGAAGCCTGAGGACAGGTATTATGTGAGGACGGGTATGAATAGGAGGCAGGTAGGACTGCGAGGACAGGTATGAATGTGAGGACAGGTAGGACTGCGAGGACAGGTAGGAATATGAGGATGGGTATGATGTGAAGACGGGTAGGAATATGAGGACTGCGAGGACAGGTAGGATTGCGAGGACAGGTAGGACTGCGAGGACAGGTAGGAATATGAGGATGGGTATGATGTGAAGACAGGTTAGGATATATGCGAGGACAGGTAGGACTGCGGGAGGACAGGTATGAAAGGACGGGTAGGACAGGCTCCGGTATGAATGCGAGGACAGGTAGGACTGTAATGACAGGTATGAATATGAAAGGTAGGACTGCGAGGACAGGTAGGAATATGAGGATGGGTATGATGTGAAAACGGGTAGGAATATGAGGACTGCGAGGACAGGTAGGACTGCAAGGCTCCGGTATGAATATGAGGACGGGTATGACTGTAATGACAGGTAGGAATATGAGGACAGGTAGGACTGTAATGACAGGTAGGAATATGAGGACAGGTAGGACTGCAAGGCTCTGGTATGAATGAGGACAGGTTACCCTCTGAAAAGCAATCCATGGTGGATTGCTTTTCAGAGGGTGGTATAGCAGCAGCTGGCAGGCATTCAGGAGGTGATACTGCTGCCACGTGACGCCTGTATTTGTTTAAGTTGCCCGATGACAATATTACATTGCAGGACTGTTCCTGAACCTGCAGACCAAGACTTTGGCTCACAATGGTGGTGCGCCCCCACTGATCTCATAGAGCACATTGGACAGGCAGTGGCACCCATCATACTCTGCAGCCCAGTTTAAAATCGCATCAGGCGCTAAGCAGGTATTGTTCACTGGTGGGCAGGGCTCCACCTATGATTGAAATATCTTTCTGCAGTATAAACCTCTTGATCCTTCTTTAGGGCTCATTCACACTGTGCTGATCTTGTGTGTTGCCTTGAAGGATAAATCCCCTTTGGAACATGTTCCTATACCTACAAATAATGTGCATTGATGATTTTTTTTCCAAAAGGTGAACTTATCCTTTAAAGCGGAACTAAAGTCTTCATACTTGCCTGTCCAATGGTCCTGTACCAGCATCTTCTTCATTTGTGTTTAGCGCCCCCCCCCCCCCCGTGTCAATACTTTGTAGGACCACCTTTCACTGCAATTACAGCTGCAGGTCTTTTTGGGGATGTCTCTACCAGCTTTGCACATCTAGAGAGTAACATTTTTGCCCATTCTTCTTTGCAAAATAGCTCAAGTTCTGTCAGATTGGATGGAGAGCGTCTGTGAACATCAATTTTCAAGTCTTGCCACAAATTCTAAATTTCTGGATTTAGGTCTGGACTTTGACTGGGCCATTCTAACACATAAATATTCTTTGATCTAAACCATTGTAGCTCTGGCTGTAATCTTCTAGTTTTGTGGAGTGCATGACTAATAGTTGTCCTGTGGACAGATTCTCCCACCTGAGCTGTGGATCTCTGCAGCTTCTCCAGAGTTATCATGGGCCTCATGGCTGCTTCTCTGATTAATGCTCTCCTTATCTGGACTGTCAGTTTAGGTGGATGGCCATGTCTTGGTAGATTTGCAGTTGTGCCATACTCTTTTTTTTTTTTTTTTTTTTTTTTTTTTTTTTCTTCTTCCTCCCATTTTCAGATAATGAATTGAATAGTGCTCTGTGAGATGTTCAAAGCTTGGGATTATTATTATTTTTTTAAATAACCTAACCCTGTGTTAAACTTCTCCACAACTTTATCCCTGACCTTTATATGTTCGTTTGCCTTCATGATGCTGTTTGTTCACTAATGTTCCCTAACAAACCTGCTGAGAGCTTCAGAGAACAGCTTGTAGTGCTTGGCAGACCAAATAGATTTTTGCTTTGTTTACAGACTAGATGGATCTACATTAGGCTACATAGTGTAATGTCGATGACCTGTTAAGTTTAATATGCTCCTTCCAGTTCCAGGTCTCTGAAGAAAATAATCCCCAGGACTAAACTGTGCAGAGGCTTGTATAACAGATACTGTGTGCTGGATGTAAAGGAGGTGCATGGACTCAGAGAGGAGAAACATCTCATTATTACAGCAAGCCAGGAAACGGAGGATACAGAGCTCTGCATTCTCAAGGATGACTGGTATATCTGCTTAAATATGATCTACGTTTATACCAAAAATTCTATAAGCTTCTTGTGCCAAGTTCCTATAACTGTTTATTTATCTTGCAGGGCTGAACTTCTTGTAAAGCCTGGTGACATAATTCATCTAGAAGGTGACTCTATACAGGATACATGGACTGTGGGCAGGGACTCTAACTTTCTTATTTTAAACCCTGATCTGCTCATATCAGGTACCAGCATAGCAAATGCCATACGATGTTTGAGAAGATCAGTGTTAAGTGAAAAATTCAAGGTTGGTCTTTTCTTTTGTTTCGGTGTTTAATGATTTTAATATATATATATATATACACATCTTTACCTTTTTAATAATGGTTTGCAGGCTTCAGAAAAAGGATCACGGCAAATGCTCATTGGTACAATGTTACATGACATTTTCCAAAAAGCAACTACACGAGGATTCGGTGGTGATGTTTTGCAAAAGCTTGCTCTTCAATCTGTACATGGACCCAAATATCTGAAAGAAATGTAAGTAACTATTTCACCCTTTATTCTCCAAACTGAGCAGAGGGCCTTGTATATTACTGGTTTGCTTATGAACTTCCAGTTATACTTTTTTCCACTGTGGGTTGGAAATGAGAGAATCTGCTTGTTCTGACTTGCACACTTTTTTTTTTTTTTTTTTTTATATAAGCATTCACACAAAACAAATTAAAAATAAAATAACCAACCAAATTAAGAAAAAGATTTCATAAATATATATGTAGCAGTGGTGCACCGAAATGAAAATTCTGGTACCGAAACTGAAAATTCAGGATGCACTTGGCCAAAAACCGAAATGGACAGTTTTTAAAAATTTATATATTTTTCAAACACAATTTTTTGGAAAAAAATACACTTTAACCGCTTGCCCACCACCCTATAGCAGAAATACTGCTACAGGGTGGCAGGGCTGCGCAAAACCACTTGTATACACATGATTTCGCATTTTCGGGTAGGGGGAGTGTGCGTTCCCTACCTGTGCCGCCATTGGCGGCTTCAGCTGTCGATCACCTTGTCCCAGCCAGTGATTCCCGAATATCACTGACGGGGGAGAGGCCTGTATGTAAACAACACAAATCTCTCCCCTGTCAGCTCCAGCACACTATTGCTTGCTGCAAAGCAATGTGCTTACACAGTACAACACACACACATACACAATAGGTGTTAACCTCTTCCTGGCCGTTGTCATTAGTACAGTGTCAGTGCTTTTTATTAGCACTGATCACTGTATTAGTGTCACTGGGGATGCTAGTGACAGTCCACCCCACCCACATGTCAGAATGCCCGACGCAGTCCTGGAGGGCAAGGGGTTAATGAATTCAACAAAAACACAATATATACCCCTTTTTCATTTTTTTTTTTTATTTTGTAAAATATGAAAGATGATGTTACGCCAAGTAAATAGATACCCAACATGTCACGCTTTAAAATTGCGCACACTCCCTTGTGATAGAAATAAGCAGTGACAGGTCATCTATATGGCGAGATCTGGGGTCAATAAGACCCCACATCTCTCATCTACAATGTAAGGCATTAAATACAAAAAAAATTGATCTAGTGCTTTAAAACAAAAATGGACTTGTTTACGTGGGGTCGGAACTGGAAGTGACGTAATAATGTCGCTTCGGTTCTCCAAGGGCATAGAGATGAGTGGAGGCCATCTTTCCTTCACTGATCTCTATGCCCAGCCGCCGGAATCATTCGATGGGTTCTCAGATAAGCCTGAGAACCACCGTAAGGTGGTGGCGGGAGGCAGGGCTATTTTCGGCACCTCCTATCAGTACCTATTTTCATATTGGCCAAAGGCAGATAGGGGTATTTTCAGCCGAAATATTTCAAGTCTTCACCGAAACGTGTGTTTTTTTTATTTTTCATTTTCAGGTACCAGCTGAATTTAAACCAAGCCGATGTAATGCAAGAAGTGGGAGAATATCTTCCATCCTTTGAAAAGTGGGCAAGTGACTCTATGATCCCTACCCACCAACAACTGGGGACACTAAACCCGTAAGCTACCCTTCATGTAATTGACATGTTCTTAATTTTTGTTATTGATAGTTTATCCAGGTTCTACATTATGTAGCCATAGCATAGGTAATTGGGATGTCTTCCTTAAGAACACTCTGTATTGTCTAAGGAAAGAACAAACAGAGGGCGCACAGGCCTAGTGCATTACCATAAAAAATGTTTAATAAGAAATAAAGTAAGTGTTGTACTCACAAATGACAATAAAGTCAAGGGACGTCATAAAACAGCTGGGTCAACACCGCGCTTAGTAACAGTCCGTAATGGGGAGTGTAGACATCCAATAGACTGACGCGTTTCAAAGACTTGCCTCTTCCTCAGAGCCACTCTTGAGTTCAATTTTGGTCTCATGTGACCAGACTGTATTTTCCCAGTATTTTACAGGCTTGTCTAAATGTTGTTGTGCAGCAAACTTTAAACAAGCTTCAACATGCTTTTTCTTCAGCAATGGAATCTTGTGTGGTGAGCTTGCATACATGGTGGTTGAGTGCTTTACTTACTGTTTTCTTTGAAACCATTGTACCTGCTAATTCCAGGTCTTTCTGAAGTTCCCCACAAGTGGTCCTTGGCTCTTGGACAACTCTTCTGATAATTCTTTTCACTCTTCCGTCAGAAATATTGCAGGGAGCAACTGGTCATGGCCGGTTTATGGTGAAATTATGTTCTTTCCACTTCTGGATTATGGTCCCAACAGTGCTCACTGGAACAGTCTGAAGTTTAGAAATCCAATGCTATCAGTAAGGTTGCAAAGGTCTTGAGAGAGCTCTTTGCTTTTACCCATCATGAGATGTTTCTTGTGTGACACCTTAGTAATGAGACGCCTTTTTGTAGGCCATCAGTTGAGACTGAACCAGCCGATAATATTTTGAACTGACAAGGGGCAGGATTTCTTTCTAATTGCTGATAGATTTCAGCTGGTGTCTTGGCTTACCATTCCTTTTAGTCAGCCCTGGTTAGTACTTGGAGTGGAGACTGCCTTGGAATACGAGGTGTTGTAAGCTTTTTTCCCTCCAGAATCTGCAACAGAGAAATAAAAAAAGTGTAAAAAAGGAGAAAAAATAAACTGGTATGTTAGTTTTATATCGACAAGAGGGACTGGTCGAATCTCGACGGTTGAGCTATATCAAGCCGAGGACGCCATGTCTGTAAAAATTTTGTATGGGTGTCTAGCAATATAGCTGTCAATTTTTCGTTGACCATTAAAAAGTTCATCTGGCTTTTGACAGCCTCAAAGCTGAGGAGGGGAGTCTTCCAGGCTCTTGCAATCATCAGCTTGGTGGCCATGAATAAGTGCGATGCCAGCTGCCGTTCGGGATGAAGTAGGCCCACTAATGGTTTAAATAACAGCACTTTGTACGGGTTGCGTTTAATGTCTGAGTGAAACATAGTGCGGAGAAGGGCGTAAACTCTGATCCACAATCTGCACACCTTGGGGCAAATATGGACCATGGTACACATTTGTTGACAACCTCGAAAGCAAGTCGGGGAATATGAGGGAATAAAACGAGCCAGATGAGCAGGCGTGTAATACCATCTATAGAGAATCTTATAGGCGTTTTCTAGAATGATACCATTCCTAGAACATTTGGATAATTGTTGGGTCATGATCCGCCAATCCTGCTGATCTAGAGTGCCCCCGAGTTCCGACTGCCAATGCTGATGGTAAGAACGGACTGGAGGAGTTATATGAGAAATAATGGAGGAGTAGACCAGGGAAATTAAGCCCGGAGCATGGGGTCTATGTCTACATTGACTTTCAAAGGGGGTCAACCTGTAGGGCCCCGAATGTGTCTGTATTCAAGTACTGATAAAGTGGCGGAGTTGAAGGTATTCAAAATGTTCCCGCAATGGGATATTGTAAGAATAACGCAGAGTTTCAAAGGCGAGTATCCGAGTGGGAGAGAGCATGGAATTTATATCATGGAAGCCATTTGCTTGCCACCAAACAAACTGTCCAGGATTGTCACGAACCTGGGGGAAATAATGGGTTATGTAGCAACCGTAGTAATGGTAGATGGGCAGAAATGAGGCAAGCTAAATACTTTAATAGAGTCCCAAAGATGGAGCGTCAGCGTCGGACTAAGGGATGAGGGTCGATGAGTAGAAGAAAGCCATGGTATAGCATGAGTTATTTTATTAGGTCATGCAATATTTTAGTAGTGAAAGCATGTGTTAATGTGTCAGTGGGGTTCCCCCAAAAAATACTGGCAAGTAAAAATTAAGCAAAAAAACAGCAAGGGGTGCCCCCATCCATACCAAGCCCCTCTGCTCTGGTATAAATTTTGAGGGGAACCCCCATGCCAAAATAAAAAAAAAAAGGCGTGGGGGGCCCCCAAAATCCTTATCCGACCATGCAGCTGGGCAGGTCAGGAAAGGGGGGGGGGTGCGCAGAACCCTCCTGAACCATATCTAGCCCCCCCCCCCTTCCCAAAGCACCTTGTCCCCATGTGGGCCTCTTCTCCACAACCCTGGCCAGTAGTTGTAGTGGGGGCTTATCGGAATCTAGAAGCCCCCCCTTTAACACAAGGGGGGGATGACGACTCTGGGTCGATGGCTTCACAAGAGGCCCCCTCCCCCCCCCCTCCTCCTCCTCCTCGCTGATGATTCATAGGTTAAGGACATGGTGGCCACCCACTCCTTGACAACCATGACTGGTACAAGTACATACCGCATGCCTGGACCACTACTTAATTAGTGCATGCATTTAATTATTTCCTTCTGTGAATTGATTTAAGAACTTTTTATGTGCTATTCACTGAGCTGACCGAATACTAGCAATAGTGAATTGACATTTTTAGCATTGCATGTGATATATGGTTATGTGACCGACTTAACTCACATGATAACCTTTAGTGAATTGTCTTGACAGGAGGGAATACTGCCCATCAATATCTTAGAATTAAAGGCAGTACGCCTTGTTCTGGATTATTGGATGAACCAGTTGCACGGGTTTGTGGTCAGGGTTCGGTCCGACACTGCCACTGCAGCGGCATATCTTAACCACCAGGGCAGCACCAAGAGTCGTGCGGTTCAGGCAAAGGTGAACCACATTCAGTCTGAGGCAGTGCGGCATGTGTCGTCTCTGTTGACCGTTCATATTCCAGGTATAGAAAACTCAGGGTTTTTTTTTCCCCCTAGGGGTCTGCAGTTGATATCAGGACAGCTGTCCATGCA